TGATTCAAACTATGTAGATTAGGCCCATCTCATGTTCCTAGTAGGCATCCACATAAATAAAACCCTTCCCAACTGTCAATAACTGCATCCATTGTTGTTGTTCCAGGCCTGAGTGAGGGGCGTGGAAACTTAACTAGCCCCTCCCAGCTCAAAAACAAGAAGCCATTGGCATAAATTCCACAGAAAGGCTGGGACAAAGTTAGCCCTCAGTTTTACCCTCCTTGATTTTGAGGCCTCAATGAATCCCATTTTCAAATCAATTGTGCTCTGCATGTGGCCGTTCTCCCAGGGAGCATTCAGCAAACAGCTCCATAAATCATGGTCACAATTAAACAAATGGTTGTTTCCCCTTGAAACAGCCTAATCGTCCCACAAATGGCATGGGAAACCTCATAATTCCTCTTGCAAAGCCCTTATAAAACGTCCTGTCTCAACGTGGCGCCCTGAAGACAGTAGGCTGCTTTACATTCGATCCCCTCTGGCAATGTGCTGGCCAGTTCGTGGCCATTTCTTTTTGTGGGTTGTCCAAATGGATGTCAAAATGCTTCTGATCTATTACCAGAACGGCCAAGGGACAACCCAGCAGCATAGCTTAGTGTCTTGTGGCATTAGGTGTGAAACCAGGAAACACCTCTGGGTTGAAAGCAATTTTCTTGCAGTTTTTTCTGGATTTTTTTCTAAGATTTTTCTGGAATTTACCTTTTTTTTTCCTTTTCCAGTTATATGTGTGCACTTCCTGTCCCTCCCCCAAAGGGGCCATTTCACTGCCACAATTCTTAATCCTTCCACCTGAGGAGAATTAAGTAGTCCCTTTGGAGCGTAGTTTCTTCCCCCTGAAAAATATTTATTTTGCATCCTTGAATAAAACACAACAAAAACATTGCAATTACAGTATAATACATTTAGGCCCTTCGGTGTAAGAATTAGCACCCTGCCTTTAGCAGCAGGGGATAACAGGAAAAAAACACAAATGAAAAGAAGCCAAAGACAGTGCTTCCATCACTGGCAATTTTATCACAAAACTTGTGATATTTGGTGTTTTTTCTTGTAGCCACAGCTCTTGAAGTCATGTTATCACATGAGAATCTCAGCTTTTATTGGTTTTCTTTAAGTGCATTTCCTGTGGTTGTGGGGAAAAACTTGAAAACACAAACCCTAAAGACCAGGTAGCAAATTAAAAAACCTGCAAATTTGTGATTTTTTTTTTTAAATAATCCCATGATTTCAAGCCTCTTGTCTGATTTTTTTGGGTGGCTGGGGGGCTTGACTCATGACTCTGGAATGCTTGAGGTTGGCAACACTGTAAAGGGAACTTGGCAGAGTTAAAAATGAATGTAGCGTGAATGGATTGGTAGCTATAGGAACACAGAACTAAATCCATGGGTCCAACTGAGCTGTGCTTGATGCGGGACTGGGGGTGGGGGATCATGGTCTGTCTGGCACCTCCCTCCAGCCCTTTGGGCTGCCCAGTTCAGTTCCAGCACAGTTCAGAGCAGTCTACACAGTTTACATAGTCCATGAGCCTGCCCAAGAGAAGCCTGCTACACCTATGTGAAGCTCACTGCCAGGGCCGGTGCAAGGAAGTTTCGCACCTGAGGTGAAACTTCCACCTTG